ACTAGGCATACTAGAAACTTAAAGGCAGGTGTGTTGAGGCAAGTTGGAGCTAAACTCTGCAGGACACCGGCCCTCCAGGACCGAGTTTGGGCAGCCCTGCTCTAATCCATCACTATCTATTCTAATTCTATTTTATCTATTTGTTGACTTGACCCACTAACACTTGCACTCTCTATTCATTTACTAACTGCTCGTTTTCTTAAAAAAGGCCTCTAACACTAGCTTTCTCTATTCTTTTTTCTATTGTATCTACTTGTTTTCTTTATATATATATATATATATATATATATATATATATAGGTGACATTTATTTAACAACAAAAAAATAAATAGTAGATATAATAAGCTGATTCTCTTAAAATAAAAAAACATAATAAACATGAGTAATATATAATATATGAATTACTTGTGTAATACTGTCAAAACAATTTTTAGAAGTTGTAAATATATCAAACATTATTGGACTAAGTCTTACAAAAAAATACACTTTCAGTCTTTTTACTTAAAACAATTCAATTTATTGAGTTTATTTCAATGTGTTACTTGTCTCTTTTAATTATTTGTGAAATTTACTAGCAATTTCTGATTGAAAATTGTTTGAAATTAATTCCTACACCATTTTTTTTCAGTGTATCTTTTACAAGTTTCATACTATGAAAAGGGCCACTTTTAAAGTATGAAACCTGCAAGTATGGGCAATACAGCAATATACACTAATTCACTATTGGAAAAAATGACATATCTATATGACTTATAAGATTACACTTTATATAAGCTTTCTAAATACTCATTTTATAGGATTTTTGTGGTAAGATAAGACTCGGGTTGCCTGTGGTGGAGAGAGACTAGCAGCAAAAGACCATTATTATTGCTGGCAGCAAAAAGGAGAGATTTTTAATATCCCGCTTATCGATGACAGAATATATCTCTACATGAGGGCACTAAGCTCTGGCACATGAAATATGGTGGGGAACGATATCTGCTATTGGTCAAAGAGAAACACCCTCACATAAAACACAAAGCCATATAAACAATAACACACACACACACACATATATATACAGGTATGTATGTATATATATATACACATACATACATACACAAAAATAGATGACGGAAAACCATTTTTTTTATAATTATTATTTCTAGAGGCAAAAAGGCAAAATTTCAAGAAAGAAAGAAAGCAAGCAAGAAAAAAAAGAAAGAAAGAAAGAAATTAAGGAAGAAAGTAATTAAATACTGTACATACATACTTTAAAAGGGCAGGGGGATGTTTGATTAAGGTTTACTTCAATTGTTAATTCTCAGGTTTTAGTCAACATTTACTTTATTTCAAGAAACAAATTTAATTGACCTTTAACTGACCTTTTTTTTTTGTAGTTTTAGTTTTAGTGTAGTTAGTTAACTATAATAACCCTATTTGTGTCCAATGTGGACCCGAAGCAAAACTCCTGCTTTACAATATGAAGCTGTCATGAGAAATTGGCAATCAGCTCCTGCTTTGCATTATCACAAGCTAAAACAAACATTTAAATGAGCTACTGGCAGATTTAGTCCTGCACATAATAGAGACAATAGAAGTCAGAATGAGCATATACAGTAGGGCTGTTTTGACAAAGGACTGCAGTCAGATGATGAACCAGGAAAAGCTGTTATGGGCTGATTGTTTATGAAAACCGTCTCTGAGCTGAAACTATAACTGTAGGCTAGTTCATAACTAATGCACACTTGTGATTGACAGCTGCTGATTTTCTCCGCTCTGGAGGCGAAGGGCAGCTGACTCGACTGAATGAGCCACCAAAGTCACGCTGCACTCGCCAGTGCTACAAACTGAAAGACAGGATGAAAAGAAGGAACAGGAGAGACAGCGGTGGAGAGTGAGAATCTCACCCTCAGCGGGGGTGCTGTGATGTAATTACTGTTGCACGGTGCTGGAATTGGGTTTTTCACACGTCTCAGAGAGAGACTTATCCCTCTCGGATGATCATCCAGTGTCAGAGGAGAGCTGTCAGTCAGCCTTGGGCACACAGTGACCTCACGAACTCAACAGAACAACTGAGACCTCAAGACTAGAGAACAACCTGAGCAGAATCCAAAGGGAAATGTATCTGGAAGATGTCACAAGCAGAAGACTTGTCAGCAAATAATAATCTTATGAGCCGAACACCTTCACAAGAGTCAAGACAACCTGTTGTAAATGCAAATCACAAATGAGATCTTTTTAATGTCTTTAATGTTTGAATTGTTTCTTCTATAGAAAAATGAGTTTAAATTTAGAGCAAATGGAGAGTTAAGAAAAAGAACTAAAGAAAATGACACTGTTGCTCTCAAAGATAGCACTATTTTAATGTCAGGATAATGTCAAAATTGACAGTTGCTTTCTTTTGAGGCAATACCAGACCTGCAAAGATGAAACCTTTGTTTTGGAGGAATGATAGCACGTAAAGTTAGAAGACAGTCTACTGCCCAGGATGCATCAAGATGCATTAGCATTTACAATGTGGTAATGTGCATTTCTGACTACTACTATACATGGTTTCAGTGATCGAAGCACAAAACATTTTGGACCCCGCTTATAATTGTATTCATTATGCTCAATTTGAGATCACATCACCCCAAAATGGATATTGAGTGTAAACAGGCCCCAAAAAATGTCAGAATA